AAGATCATGACCACTGGTCCCATCACCTCCTGGCAAATAGAAGGGGAAGGCATGGAGGCAGTGACAGATTTTACTTTCTTGGGCTCCATGATCATTGCAGATGTTTACAGCGGCCATGAAATTAAAAGGCACCTGCTTCTTGGGAGGAAAGCAATGACAAACCTAGACAGCATCTTAAAAAGCAGAGACATCACCGACAAAGGTCTGCATAGTCAAAGCAGTAGCGATGTATGGAAGTGAGAGCTGGACCATAAAGAAAGCCGAAGAATTGATGCTTTTGAATTGTGGTGCTGGAGGAGGCTCTTGAGAGGCCCCTGGACTGCAAGGAGATCAAGGTTATCCATTCTGAAGGAAACCAACCCTGAGTGCTCACTGGAAGGACAGATCTTGAAGTTGAGGCTCCAGTACTTTGGCCATCTCGTGAGAAGAGAAGACTCCTTGGAAAAGACCTTGATGTTAGGAAAGTGTGAAGGCAAGAGGAGAAAGGGACGACAGAGGATGAGATGGTTGAACAGTGTCATCGAAGCAACCAAGGTGAATTTGACCCAACTCCGGGAGGCAGTGGAAGATAGGAGGGCCTGGCGTGCTCTGGTTCATGGGGTCACGAAGAATCGGGCACGACTCAATGGCTAAACAACAACAAAGTTCCTCCAAGCTGCATTGTACACTTTTAACAAAGGAACCAGGGCGTCCAGAACGAGGGTATTGCTGCTATCACCCACACCTGAGATCTGAACCTCTCCTAACCCACAGCAGATACTGTACTGTCTTCTTGCTCCATACACACGAGCACCGGTTAACACGGATTACCACACCCACCCTAGGCAACTGAAAAGTTAGATTTAGGACAAACGCTTCGTCAAATCTACCTGGGAAATCGACCAAGCCTCTGAAGTCCTCCGGCGCTCTTATGTCCCCCACAGACACACGCTGCATAAAACTCCTCACAGGCTTCACTCGACAACTGCCGCTTTCAATGCCTCAGCAGCGGCGGGGGCGCCTCGAGTTTTGAATCGCCTAAGATGGCAAATCCCGATTGGTCACTCTCAAATGATCCCGCCTCCGCTGCCTCTCTCTCTCTCCCCCCTCGTTCACGAAAGATCTCGCGAGGGACCGGGAAGTGCCGCTGGAGACCACCTTCACGTAAGATCTCGCGAGGGTAGGGACCGGGAAGTGCCGCTGGAGACCACCTGGGAGGTTGAGGCTCCATTTTCCTTCCTCAGAGTTCGTTGCGCCCGAAGAGAAGGGCGGCTGTTCGGTAAGGTCGGAAGCGGGGAGTTCAGGAAGAGAAGGGAAGGGAGGGGAAGGGCAAGGGAATAGTCTGAACGTATGAACAGTCGGTCTTCAGCATTTATATGGCAGGGGAACCCCGGTGAGGGTCGGCTATGCGTATCTTCTTTCCAAGCCCCTGTTGGTGCTGCCTCAGGTCTCTGGCCCATTTCTCTCCCCGCCTGTCGAATTGCTAGGTTCTCTCAGTAGAGCTGTGCCAGGCAATCGGGGCCGGATTAAGTCGAGCCGAGGCCTCCAGAGGCGTCGGATTCAAGAGTCCCCGTTGCCTTCTGAGGCATGGGGGTAAGGCTGAACATGCTTGAATACGGGATTGCTCTAGAGCAACGCCTGGAAGGCAATGCTGGGCGAACGGTTGGATTTGGCATTATAGAATAAGACGTGCCGTAGAGGAGCGCGGGTTTTAACCGGGGAAGGGCGACCCTGATCAGAAGACCGCGGGGGAAGGAGCCAGGCGTGAAAGTTGCGCAAGAAGGCAAGGGGAAATGGAGTTTATGAAAGTTTCCTCCCTTTCTGCACGGAATTTATAACCCCCTTTGGCTGCTGTCGAACGGACCTGAAGCATTCCTGTTCTCATCTGTTGTCAGGTTGCTTCAAACTTGCGTTAGTAAGAGCTTCTAAGGTGCACTAGAAGTTCATGGAGTGGCCTCCATTGCCACTCCAGTGAGTTTCCACGGCCAAGGGGGAAGGGGACTGGACCCCAGGTGTTTGGAGTTCTCATCCAGTACTCTCAACTATACCCTAAGAGAGGGCTTGTCAGTACTGGCATATAGATATGGTATATGGATTGCAGATGGCACTGTTTGGATGGGGGGTGGGTGGAATCTCATCTGCAAGTGTTTCAGTTTATAAAGATCCATCCGTCTGTCCCCTGTAAGAGCTGTCCAATACCCTTCTGGGCCAGCAATAGGGCATGCATTCTTTTTGCCTTTTTTCCCCCTGGGAGAGGGCAGCCTTTGCCATCCTGGCTGCAGATTCCAAGGGAGGAGAGACAAAGTGGGGATAGAGTGAAGGAAAGGAAGCAGGGAGGAGGGGAGAGGGGGAAAATGGAAAGGCACTGTCAATGGGACAGAGACGTGACATTAAAAATATCATTAAAATTTTCTCTAATATTCTGCAGACAATTAGGGGAAGCTCTTAATTGACATCTGATCTGGGTACAAGGGGTCCTTTGCTGTTCAAATGTGAGGAGCAGGTCAAATGGCACATTGGTTCACCCCTGACCTCAACAGACCCTTTGTAATCTGATCCATCTCAACCCAAAATAGCCAGTCTGGACAGGCCCCAGTTTTCAGAAAATCCCCTAACATGGCATGAGGCTTAAATCTTGTTAACTGTATTGGATTGTTAAATACAGTACTGTTGTTAGACCCACAAACTTCAAACGACCCAGAGTCAGGATATACAGATCTGAGATATTTAGATTCATTTCAGTTTTTTGATGCACAGATTCATTCAGAGATTTTTGCTTGGGGAAACTACATAGATAATAAATGACACTTCAGTAGACCTCTATTGTGTACATGTGTGCATTAACTATTGTCCTTCCTTCAAACATTAAAACTGCTGTTTTGCAGAAGCATATCATTTTCCTAGATTAATGCATGGACAGTGGACAACCCTAATTAAAACCAAGTACATTTTGGATATATAACAGTTTCTTCTTCCTGTGATCAGTAACAATTAGTAATCGAGAGAAGAAAAGGTAACAATTGAAAATGATGTGTCTGCTATTTTTAACATGTGTAGTTGTCATGGAGATAGCAATCCTGTGCCAGGCTGTGTGAATAAAATTTACATGACTATATAAAAAAAATCTTACATACAAAAATGATAGGTAGGGGAAGATTAATTTAGAACACTTCTCTGTGATATCAAATTTTTCCTGTTAGAATACTTGGATTTTGCATGAAGCATTTGAACATTCTGGATGAAAACAAACAGCATTCAGTGGGGAATATCTTTCACATAGTTGGAGAATCTTACAAGAAAGGGAAAATGTTTAACATTTGAATTTGTGAAATTAGAAGCAACACAATTCTGCTGATGCAAAATAAAGACCCTCTCTCAGGGCAAGTGTAGATAATTGGTAGAAAACTCAGCATGTTTAGTAGGACTAAGAATGCCATTGACAAGTATTAAATTATTTTTCTCTTTAAAAATTGGAAGCTTGATCTGGATTAGGACTTCGGCAGGGAGTAATGTAGGAATTTTTGCAGGTTAAAAGTCTAACCCTTTCTCAAGTACTTTATATTCCCCCCTGTAGATCATCAGCCCTGCACTTATACTTTACTTCTTATAAAGCCATTTATATAAAAATGTTTACGGCTTGAATGCAGTTGTGTCTTGTCTGGGCCTTATTTTCAGTAGTTTGGTAATAGTAAGATATAGCCAGAAGCTGTTTTTTCTAATTCCTTCCTGGGGTTTTCATCGTATTTCACTTGGCTAGTGTTAAAAAATTGACGTGTTGCTTGTAATGAAATCATATTTTAGTCAAAGTTAATTTCATTTGTTTTTAAAGGTATGTTTCTGACATTAGCACTACTTCGAAATAGGATTCCTGGGAATCAATGGATTGGTAAACACAGACGGCCAAGATTCGTTACTAATCTAATGAAGCGTAATATGATTCAGAGGCTGGAAATTGAAGCCGAAAATGAATATTGGCTGAGTCGTCCTTATATGACAAAAGAACAGGAGTATAAACACAATACTGAACGTCGGCGTGCACATTTTGAAGCGGTTGCAGCAGCAAAATCTAAGTTTCCTGAACACAAGTTTGCTTCAGAACATCTGGGTCATCTGAATGTGACCAAGAAATGGGAAAGCTCTTGAAATACATATGCTGGCACTCATTTGGATTCCTTGAATTTGTTGACAGTGACAAGCTGAAGTTTGACCTGTAAATAAATGTGATTAGTATAACTTTCAGTCTCTGTTGGATCTGTTTAATTAATGCAAACTCACTTGACTACGTTATACAGTAATACCGTGCATAGTGGTGCCCTGTTTAGTGCTGATTCAGTACAGTGTGTATGCTTGGGCACACCTGGGGCCCTCTACCCATTCCATGTTGGTGTTCCCTGATTCTTTTTTTCTCCCCCTTCCCCTGAAGAACCCCTGCTTGCTGTGACTGGAGCCCTTCTTTCCTGATGTTCTTGTTACCTCCTGTTATGCAGTTTAAATTGTAAAGCAGTAGGCCCTGCCCCATGGACTTAGTGCTCACCCCTTCTTCCAGAGGCCCAGTCTACATACCCCTTCCTGCAGACTTAATGCTCATCTGTGTTGGTTTTTTCCACCTCTAGCATAATGTAGAGTGCTTAGTTAGTGCTGGTTTAAAGTGTTCCATTTTTTTGGAATGTATCCTGAGTGCTAAGTAGGGTATTGCTTCAATACCATTTTTCTGGTTGAAAAAGTCCCCTTTCTCTCTCTGGGCTGGGGAGAGAAAAAGGACTTGTACTGCCTTTATACTGGTGGGTTTTACTGCAAAAATGCAGTTGTAAATACAGTGCAAAAATGCTATTATCTTAAAATGTATTCTGTTTTAGAGGACATATGTGGGAACTACAAAATTATCCTGTTTTAATACAAGGTGGTGTGGGACCAAAAAGGAATATGGAGCTGATGCAACAAGTCCCCGTTTGTTTGTTTGTTTGTTTGTTTTTTGGTAAATGGAAGTTAACACTACACAAAAAGTCCCATCATTTAAAGCTTTTTTTCCTGAAGCAATGTCTCCACCTCTCTATATTCATATATGAAAGGATATCTTTATTAGAGCGATTAGCAATGTAGTTGACAACCAGCCAGCTTATTTTCAAAGTATTTATTTAGTTTCTTTTGCATTCATTGTGACATAATGCATTTATGTGTCACCACTTTGGCAAAGGGTTTAAATGATGCATTTTTCCTTGAAAAGGAGTTGTAATTAAGACATAAATGAAAGTCTGCACTTTGATATATAAAATATTCAACATGATCTAAAATTATTACATTGGTGTAAAATACACATGAAGATATTACAAGGTGCAGTTAAAAATATGAAAATTCAGGCAAAGTGATTTGTATTATAATATTTTATTTATAAAAGCCCATTTAAAAGTCACTTTGAAGTATTAAACAATTAATGGCAATATGTTTTTTGTGCATAGGAATATTCCTATCTGCAACATAAATATGCATTATTCACATTATGTATCCTCTAATGACCCCTTGCCAGTTTAAATTTGAATATTTGCAAGCTTACTTAGTATAATTGAGATACGAGTAAAATACTTGCATAAAACTTTGTGATAAATACAGTGCAATGTGTCCTGACACCCACTGGCAAATGCATAAATAACAGCAGCCTTAGTTGTAAGCTAAGGATGCCTCTCATGGCCATATCAATAATACTGGGGCTGTTGGGGAATGGAGATGTTGTCTACATCCTGCAATCCTAAGCCAGGTCTTTGAAAATCACCTGCAGTGAACTCAGTAGAATGTTCAGGCAAATGCCTTTAGGTCTGACATAAAGGGCTGCAATCTTTAAACCACATGCAGTTTTCCTAGTTGTAATTTCAAATTTCTGACACAGTTCTCAGACTTGTAACATACTAGAACTTGTTTGACATAGTTTATAAGTATTTTGGTACCAAGAGCCTTATGCTTTATTATGCATTAGTTGTGAGCTATTTATCACTGCCAGATCATTTTCTGAAACTCATCTTCAGTAATTTATTTTGTAAACATAGTCAGACTTCCTACTATTTACAGGATTCAAGTAATATTTGGAACACACATACTAGATATTTAACTAAATACATATTCTCACAACATAGATGCAAATAATTCCTTGTCAAGTACCTATGATTTAACTTCACTTGGTATATTAATGCTGACTTTAAAAAGATATCTGGCCTGCCTTGACTGACTTACTCACAGGAGAAAGGAAATTACATTATTTTGCTAACAAAAAGCTGATGATTGCTTAGAAACAAATACAGTTTTCAGAATTTCTAGTAACTTGATATCTTGGAGTAAGAAACTAATAACTAGAAAATACTTTTTCAAAACAAAACAAAAAACAACCCACAATTATCTTCCAAACTAAAGCATAAGACCTAACTTGCAATAGCAGCCAGCAAGTCAAATTGTACACTGATAGAATCAGCAGTAATTGGTAGGTGATTTGGGGCAACCAGGCATGTATCTATGCCTGCAGAATGCTAACTGTATTTAATAATATTAATAACAAATGTGCTTATAATAGGCTGCTTATAAATAGACTAATTCTCAAGTTCCAGCAAAATCCTTTGATGAGAGGATAATGGGAAAAGAAAGCCTATAAACACATCTTTAAATCGTAACATGAACTTTTCACGCAATAATCTTTGGTATAATTTTGTGGTATGATGCCATACTGTTACATGAATTGATACTGTGAGTAAGGGTTCTTTTCAAATATAGTTTCACTAGTCACCAATGAGACATTTCTAAAGTGGTTTAAGGATTGCAGAATAATAATTTTAAATATTAGATATTGACAATATTGTTCTAGATCACCCTGTAAGAGCAAACAAAGGAATGCACTATCTGAAATATGTGGACCCCTAACATATAAGTGCAGATGAATCTTTATTCCTATGTACACTTTACAAAGAGAACCCTGTTACCCATTCATTTTATGGAGTCTGCATGTTTACTGATAAGCTGTAAGACAAAATTTGTTGTAGTTGACTTACTGAAAAACACACTTCATATGTATATAATTTGGCTCCCAAACTTTACTAAATCACATATTTCCTCTTGAAACTGCTGAAGATCAAATTAGAAGAGCAGAGATTTAATCAAGAAGTCTACGTTCTAAGGTTTCTATTCTATAAAAGGTGCGGAGGGTTGACTCCATAGGCTTGCCACCCTCACTTAACTTCGAAAAGCTATCTGCAAGATGTTTTTGTGCTGTGTACTAGCTTTCTTCTCACCTTTCAACTCAAATTGAAGCACTCACAGGGACTGGTATTTCAGTGCGCGAATGGGGCTAAATGTCATTATCTGGGTAAAGGTTGGTATTAGCACTGAGAACCTTGAGCATGTTGATCGTACCTTTTGTACGAGAGAGTACAGGATATAGCTCTGAGTCTAAACTAGTTATGAAGGAAGCAAATACTGTTCTATTTCTTCCCTCTGCTTATAAACCAGCCGAGGACAGCCAAACCTATGAAAATCTTCTAAAATTTGTTATTTTGTGTATGTTCTATGATGCCTAAAGTTTGCAAGAAGGGCCCTGCTTATTTCAAATATATGACACAGGAGAGGGTTTATACCAGAAAAGCCTTAGAAAATATGTAGTATTTTTATGGCACTTCAACTGACTTGAAGTGATTCAGTCACAATCCATTACAAGGGTTTAAAATAGGCACAACAATGTAGAAATGATGGATGATCTACTCTTGGCCTGTTTCTTGGAGTAGACCTGCTAGAACTCTGCTTGGAAGGGCAGTGGGTGCAATTGTGGAGGCAGAGAGGAAGTCTTGCATACACTTAGCTCTTGTCAGCATATGTATACAGTACTATACGACCCGCAGTAAACCGAAAAAAATTAGATTACACATTAGTGTTATGGATACTATTCTTTTCAGCAAAGACTTATGAGGAAAGGATAGGATTTGGATTCAAACTGAGTGAGACTGTTGGAAAGATAGTTTGATCTTGGATGATAAAACAGATGCATTAAAAAATCCTTATGTTGTTTCTCTCTCACACACAGAATACTGCTGCTAAAAATCCTTGCACAATGTACATATCTGCTTTCTTTCCCACAGAAAATGAAGTGCCTGATTTCTATCTGTACTTGGTCTGAAAGAAAACACAAGTTATCAGTTGGTTTCAAGGGGCAATGGCATGGTAGGATTACTCATCAAAAATATGTACATATATTTTTAAGTAAACATATCTGTAGAAATGGGAGGAAATCCTGAATAATATTCCTGATATGGCTTATATGAACACATTTCCAAGAAATTAAAATATTGGTGCTCTTTAAAAAAGCTGAGAAAAATAACTGTGCAGACAAAAGCAACAAGTTCCTAGTAAGTCCTAATTCTGAAGCAAACAAGCAAATAGAAAACCTTGCTTGTCCAATAATGTATTGCAGCTAAGCTAGACAGAAGGAAGAGAACTTCAATATCAGGTCTGAAAAGCCGGGGTCTTGAGTTGGCTGCTTTGCAACTGTATCAAAACAAATGGTTATCAGATAACAGTACTGGGGAAAGCAAAAATGCACCATGCTGTAGGTCCACCAGATGGTGTTTGAGCCACACATAACTGAACTGTGAAGCTTCAGTGGCACACTTTCATCCCTCCCATGGCCCACCTCCTTCCCAAGGACTTGCTATGAAGGTAGTTCCCGCATGATACTTGCATGGCACTGTTTCTCACATGAACTTTGCAGAATCAACCCCCCTTCACCGCAGTGCAGTTGGAATGCATAGTTTTCTGCACTTTCAGAGTTCTGTGCACCCCTGCAGGACATTTCAAGATTTGGCCCATGTAGCAGCTTAAGTCCATGTTGGAAAAACATCAAGAAATCTTAAGGCATCAAACGTCCCGCTCTGCAAGTGCTTATAAGCATTCACTGGATACCATCAAGAATTTCATTTTTCTTTTTCTTTTTTTTCTTTTTTGGTATCCTGTTAACATGCTGGCACTGTTCCATTGATATATCAGTGTCTTCCTTACAAAATTAAGTAATATCCAAGCACAAACATACTGTAGAAACCTATTTGGAAAACAAATTAAATTAGTGGAATAATGGATAAATATAAGCAGTGAAGAAAGACAAGACTGTAGACTACCTACCATGCACTCAAAATGTTAATACTTTCTTTGTATGAACAGCCTGCCTATAAGCAAGCTATAAGCACAAAAACCATCCATAGTTCTTATACACTTACCACACACATAACCTCAATCAGCTTTGTCTTAGCAACTAGCAGTTGTATTACAAAGTAATTTATGGCCAGACAAAAGCTGTTTCCACTCTGTGGTTGACACTGAACACTTGACAAATAACAGCCTTTCATCTTTTTCTTTTCTTCCTGACCTTCTGAAGTGTTCCTACAGACTGCTGATATCTCCTCTTGCTTTAGGTTCCCCCATTAGTGCCATACGGTAGCTCAGTTAGCCTGAAAAAGCCTTTGTTTAATCTTGGAATACAGGGATTTAGTGTGCTTATTCCATAACAAAGGGGAAGCACAGTGCACATACTTGTGCAGTCTTCTGTTTCTGGGGACTGAATTACAGATTGTAGAACTCAACTGTGGTCAAATTAAATCTGTGCTTATTATGGTGACAACTGATGCCAACACCAAGTGAGTAAAATATAGCAATATTCAATCTTCTATGTACTGTATAAAAAGATTGCAAAATTTCCCATTCCATATATCTCCCATATTACAGCCTTTAACCAGTACTATTTAAGTCTGGGCTATATATCTGATTCACAATCCATCCTACCTTTTCTTTAAGGTCTTCAGAACAACACTATTTCATTGTCTTTTGAGGTCACAATTAATTTCTATTCCTTGGAAAATGTTAACTTACCATTTCCCTCCTAATGACAGGAGTGGACAATGAAACCAAGATCAGCTCTCCAATGAAACTACAATATGCTTTTTTACACCTTAAAAAGAAAGACAAACAGTATAAAATATATTTTAGAATTCTGGCATGATAGAAATAGTTGGAATGGCACAGCAGAAAAGGTAATCTAGTACCTGTGTTGTGTTTATCTTACATTTCATAATAAAAACTATTCCTATTCTATATATTTTTTAAAAATCAGAACATTTTAATTATGTTCTGCAATAAGTTATTATAATCCACAACATTTAATACCTGATTTAATATTTTCATCTTCTGAACCAGCTTCCACCCACTGGTTTTCATTGGCTAGCAGTCGATTTTGAGATTCACTGAGTGGCCGAATAGGAAAAGGTTGACTGGGGCTAGAGCTGAAAAGCAAAATTGTTTTTGTAAACTGGGTTATATTGCACCAAAGCTCACCTTTAAATTCTTTATTAAATAGATAATTCTGAAGAAATATATATTGACCCAAATCCTCTTGCATACTTATGCCAGTGTAATGCAAATGGCATGACCTTTGGAGGCAAATTGCCTGAAGAGATCAATATCAAATTACCTGTTACATGTCTCATACAACAGATAATGACTATAATGATTTTGAAACTTTAGGCAAATTGCCACCAGTTGTTGCACCTTTTGCATTGTACCAGTGTAACTACACAAGAGGATTTGGGCCAATATAAACAAACATTGCCTGTCACTGGTACACACACAACAAATTATGGTTTACTTTTGCATACAGAAGCTGACATGACCATCAGGTTTGCATGTTCACCCTTCCCTTTGCACATGACAGGAAATGTCCAGTTTCCATTCCTAGAAAGCAGCAAACTGCAAACCTCTTCAATCTGCACTTGAAGGTGGAAAAGTAATGTGTAAACCCAAATGAGGGAGAGAAGGATCTGACAATTTTGTTCATATCATCTGCAAATTTCTTCCAACATGTTCAGTAAGAACATATGAAATGCTTCTGCACTGAGGGGCGGTTTGGACTTAGGTCTCTTCTAACTCAATTATTCTATGATTCTATGAAATGTGCTACTAAATTACACTAAAGTCTATCAATCTAGTACAACATTCTGCTTACACAACTGTCAGCCAATTGCTTATGAGAAGTCCACTACTACATAAACACTTCTGCTCCCCAGTTTAACTCTTTCCAACAACTGTCTGATACAGAAAGATGCACCCTGAATAGTTGTCACTGGTGATCTAATCTCCATGAATGTATTTAATTCTACTTTAAAGCTATCCACCACACTGTCTTGTAACAATGAATTCGACAATTTAACTATGTTCTGTGCTATACATGCTTTCTGTTATGTTTTCTTTGTCAAAGTTATGCAGTGAGATAAATGTCAATAAACAACTAGTAGAAGAGAAATTCTTCACCTTTTAGCAAGTTCATTTGGGCTTGAAGCAGCAAGTTGTTCTGGATCCATGATCACCAGCCGTGTTGGAAAATTGCAGCCATCTCCTAAGCTGTGCAATACAATAAACATGGTACTATCAATATAATCAATATTTAATTAGTATGTTAAGTATACACCAGATTTAGGCACAAGTAACTGTACTGGTAGATTCTCCTCCTTCTTCACAGCTACTGTGCCAACCCATTAGAATGCTGTATGAAGAACGGGATCTTGTTGAATAGAATTGCAACAAAGACTTTTAGCTTATATGGAGCAAAGCAGTGGCATAGTATTTATTGAATATATTCAATTTATTGAATATAAAATATATTATTGAATCTAAATATAATATTGAATATAAAATATTCAATAAATAATGTGGGTGGCCAGGGGCACAGTATGTATGTATGTATGTATGTATGAATGTATGTATGTATGTATGTATGTATGAATGTATGTATGTATGTATGTATGTATGAATGTATGTATGTATGTATGTATGTATGAATGTATGTATGTATGTATGTATGTATGAATGTATGTATGTATGTATGTATGTATGAATGTATGTATGTATGTATGTATGTATGAATGTATGTATGTATGTATGTATGTATGGATGTATGTATGGATGGAAAAAATCCATGTATAACCAAAGCTGTGCTGCTCAGACCTGTGCAATTCAAGGGAGAAGTGTACTTGGAGTTTTATCAGAAGCTTGTTTAACTCTAGAGTCCACTGCAGTGTTTTTAAATGCCTCAGTTTGAATTCAACAGGAGAAAAATCTATTGTCTTCTTTCTCTTAAAATACAATGACCCAAACCCTCTTAACTAGTTGAGCAAGCCGTTTCTGTTGAGAAACAACTGTCATCTGGTGAATGCACCAAAGCTGGTAAAAGGAACTCTGCAGCACCAAGTCCACTTGTGTCTTGTTTAACAAGGCTGCTTCACAGAAGATGAGATCAACCCCACCCAGAAAATGCTGAATACTATTCTTCAAGGCCCGAGATTCATCTACACAAAGAGCTGTCTTTTCAGCAATCAACTTCAGTTTACAGGCCCTCATCAAACCCACTATTGAATCAGGATATAGTTCAACATGTACTCAACCTCATCTGACCCAGCTGACAGACAGACCGAAGGCCCATGCAGTTTACACAGTGACCAACCAGACACCTATGGGAAACCCACAAGCAGGACAAGGATGCAACTTCACCCTCCTGCTTATTTCTAGCAACTGGCACTGAAAATATCAATGGATGAAACATCGAGTAATATCTTTATTCTCCCCTGACTTTTAAAGCTATCCATTATTATAGGAAACTGCTAGCTTTTTTTGTTTTTTAATATATTTTTTATTCATTTTCATAAGGATAGGTGTTATGGTACGAATAGGGGGCCAGGTAAGAGGGGGGGAAGGGTAAGAAAGGGTAAAATTCCAGAGAGCAGAAAGTATTCTTATATCCGCTTATACAATTGTATGAAAGATGGAAATCATACAAAGAAAAAAATTATAAAAATTTCCACAATATTTATCATTACTAATCTTCCATTTTCTTAGACTTTCTCTTTTTATTTTTAAGTTTACTAGTTTAATAGGTTTAATATTATTCTGCCATCTTATATCTATTATTCTAAAATGTTCTATTGCTAAATCACTGTTATAACCAATAATTTGTGTTTATTTTATCATATATTCTTTAACCACAAAATATTTTCTTAGATTTAACGTTTATCTCCACTGTATTCTCGAAAGCTTTCATGGGCCAGATCTGATGGTTGTTGTGGGTTTTCAGGCTCTTTGGCCGTGTTCTGAAGGTTGTTTTTCCTAATGTTTCGCCAGTCTCTGTGGCTAGCATCTTCAGAGGACAGGAGTAGGAACTCTGTCCGTGCTCTGTTGCAGTTTGTTGGATAGTTGAGTATTTACAGCTGTGGGAACAGCTTTCGTCCTTTTCAGGAGATTGGGTTATTATGGGGATCAGCGTGTTTTTGTTGTGGATGTATTGTTGTGATAAGGGGGAGAGATTATCTGTCACTGGTCTTTTGTGTGCAGTGATCCCTGGTCCATGTGGCTGGGTAGAGTTTGTTCACCTTTCGCAGGCTGTATTTTTCAGTGCTGGGAGCCAGGCCTTGTTGAGTTTTAAACTTTCTTCTTTTTTGTTGCAGCTCTGCTGGTGTTTATGGATTTCAATGCCTTCCCTGTGCAGTCTAACATAATGATTACTTGTGTTGTCCAGTACTTCAGTATTCTGAAATAGAATTTCATGTCCAGCTTGTTTTCAGGTATGTTCAGCTACTGCTGACCGGAAAAATCAGCAGTAGCTGAACATACCCTAAAACAAGCTGGACATGAGTTTAAAACTCAACAAGGCCTGGCTTCCAGCACTGAAAAATGACCAGGGATCATTATCTGGATTTCTTTCCAGGTAGTGACCACATAGTTATTCACAATAGCTTGGGGGGAAAAGTTGACAGGAGGAAGGGCTTTTCCAGAGATTGTTTCTGGCTGCTTCACAGACTTAAATCCATCAGTAATTTATGGTTATATTGTCCTGCAGGAGCGAGTTTTATTGCCACAATAGAAGCAGAGTTGTTTTTTCTCCCTCCCCCTTTCTCCTCCTTTCTTTCTGTCTCTCAGCCAAGCCTATGATGAAAAGGGGGGGGGGGAAGAGTGTTCACTGGTCTGGCCAGATACAGATCTAGTCACTTTCTCTGACAGATTACACCCAGTCTCTTCATTGTATTAGGTCCTTAGCAGTTCCATATGTAAAACAAGACACTTACTTCACTTTGGTCAAGATTATTTTTCCAAAATCCTTCTGTATTTTTCTGATATCTGTCTTGGGGTATTCTCAGCTCTGTGCCAAAATGGTGCCTTCTCAGTTTCTGCTTTTCAGATTGCAACTTCAAAGAGAGGCCAATCCGGGGAATTCCCGGGTCACCCCTGTTTGTTCTCAGTCAAATTCTATTGCTTCAGACTTTTAACTTCTCCTATTAAAAGTCCTTTCCCCCCCAAATCTGAAGGGGTCAAAACTGAGTGGCCTTGATTAGTTTCAGGAGCCTCCTGAAACCCGGCTGATCTCACTGCGATGAAGCCCCCACTCCCACAGGAAACTGCTAGCTTGACTATGTTCTGTGTGAAGCTTGTCTTTCTATCTGTCCTGAACCTCCTAGCATCCAAATTCATTAGATGACCCTAGGTCTCTCCCTCTTCACACCATGCATAATTTTATACACTTCTACTATATTCCTTATTAGTAATCTAAATACCACCATAAGATGTTACCATCCCTCATAGAGGAATTTCTCCATCATCCCTTTCCAAACCTATAATATTTTTATGAGTGGCCGTAAGCATGAACAACATTTCAAGTGGGGCTGTATCACACATTTGTATAAAGGTACGGTGTTGGCAATCATATTTTCATCCAGACCTCCCTTAACTAGATATTTGGTTCTTGTTCTATACCTAGAACAAGGATATTTTAAATGGCAATTACAAAACAAGAACTCTACAATGCAGAGGACCTAATTAACATTTTCTCTACCTCCCTTGTAGAAATTATTAACAAAAAGCAAATCTATGTTGTGTGACAAAATGTACTTCTAAGCAGATAGGGTATGATTTAATTTAGTACTCAGGCATGACCACTACTTGAGGAAATATGCAAGACAAAATTCTAACTACTCCTGTAAGTAGATCTAAAGTTTATTTACCTATTTACCAGAAACCTCTGGGTAGAGTGGGCGGCATATAAATTCAATAAATAAAT